TCTACGATTTTGTGGGTGTCATCGCCAACACCAAAAGTCATGGTAAAGTTATTCCGCTATCTAGCCAAATATTATCACCAATAAAGCGCTTGCAGTGTGAAATTAATGTACCATAATACGTTGTTTTTCACTAAGTAAGAATTATAAATGTCTTCATGGCTTGACTTTTATCACAATCAAGAAAGAAACTAGCCTTGATTAAAAACTTTCAATAGGTCAAGCTAAAAATACGTATAATGTAATAACTTTTATATTATGAGCTGGGCTTTCTCATACTACAGTTTTTCTCTCGCTGTTAGAAAAACAACTTATCAGTGATCAGTATCAAACTTCACGAAAATATAAACCAAGTCAACATAAGAAACAGAATAAAACATTTCAAATGTTCGCCACTGCGAAACAAAATGGACTACTTAAGTGTGAAGGTTATAGATATTGCTATTTATTTATTGGAATAAAATTTACAAACCGATTGTTAATAAATATCCTTTCTATGTTTTTGCCACGCCTAAATAAATTGACAAACAAAGAAAACGGATAGCATACACTAACGGTTTTTTATGCAAAGGTTTTAAGTTAATCATGTCGCTAATTTGGGGAAGAATTAAGTAAGCATAAAAAAGATAACATTGAGTCATGGAGATTAAACTAGTCAGGAGGATGTATTGACTTAACCTTCAGATAACGCAAGTTGATTATCCGAGCTAACCTTCGAAAAACTAACTTTAAGCTATAAGCAAACAAGAATAAGCCCAGTGTTAGCTCAGAGTAGACATACATATCCTGTCTAACAGTCCGCACTGAACTATGAGTAGCTTTTAAAAATCAAATTCATACAAGTCCCAGCTTATTGAAGTGTGAATCTTGAATTCGGTCAAAAGCTAATGAACGTGCAGCCTTCTCTAATGATTAGACATTTCAAGACCAGATACTGGCTTCACCTGTCAAGTAATAAGTAAATTAACTCTGTTGGAAGTTTTTGGAATTTCAAATCAGTATAACTATGACTATTGAGACTAGTGTATTGCCCGAAATCTTCGGGTTTTAAAAGTTTATCGCATATGCTTTTCCATTGCAAGATGATATCTAGGATCATATTACCAGAAGTAAGAAACGAAAACAGAATCTGAGGGTGCAGATACAAATGATTTGCTTTTTGATCAATGTACAGTAAGAAGGGATGGGTTATCGATTTCTGTTGACATCAGAAGAACAAACCACTCTAATTAAAACAGTAGTGGACATAACTGAAAAACAACACGCGTTTACCAACTGTTTGTGCACATTCTATTTTTTTTCTATTTTTGTTGTCTCCGAATACCTCTGTAAATAAATTTGATATGCCATTTAAATGGTTCCGGTGCGTTTCGCTTTCAAAGTGTGAGTAAACCAGTATTCTTTTTTGAATCCAATACACATATTCTTGACAGATAAAATTAAAGAAACTAATTTATAAAAGTGAGACTCAGTTGACAGTAATCATAACAGCTGTAATGATAGTAACAACATTATTACTCGCAGCACAGGATAAACGAGCCTTTGTATAAACTGTCTTTAGTAGACAACAGTTGTTCATTCTTTTCTAATTGAAGTACAGTGTTAAAGTGTAAGAAAATATGCATGGACGTCTAGGGAATAGGAGGTCATCCATGTAGGCATGGATAAAAGTGATGATAACTGATCGATTTAAAGGAAGACATTTATTTTAGTTGTCGTAAAATAAATAACTGGTAATCACGCTATTCAGATAGTGGTCAATTAACATAGACTCAATGTTAGGGCAACCCAATATCAAGCAATGTGATCTACGGTCATTTAGAGCGTAGAACAGCCAAAAAATCAGAATTTGGGACCATAAACTTCATCTTTCTGGGATGGCTTTTGTCCGATAACACGAATAATCAGGTTGTCAACGAGTCTAAGGCTTTCTAACTGAAAAATTTCGTTTTTATCTACAAAAGAAAAATTCTCATCATCCAGTCTCATTTTCAAACGGCATTTTAAAACTCATGAATCTAAACGAAACGAATTACGTCAATTTCGGATTTATGCTCATATTTGCTGTAACTAGTTGCAAAAAACTTGATCAAATAAATTTGCCATGATATATGAAAGTCTGCCGCGTTTTTCATGACTAATACTTAAGTTAGAATAGTCTTTCACAGATCTCATTCCAATATAGCTGGTGAATTTATGCTAATGCTTTAGTGTTGGCAGTTATCTATCATCAAGCAACCAACCATAGGGGATTTAAAAAGGGGTCTTTAGCTTGCATGAATTTTCTCTGAAATAAAAAGGCTACTTTCTATTATAATAAGTGAACCATCAGCCTAAACTGCTAACCAGTGGTTAGTTTTGAAATGGTGGAGAAAATTCAGCTAACTGTTTTCTATCATAGGATTAGCCTAACCAGATAGCTTTTTTCAAATTTACTTACAGAGAAATCTCGTAAGTCAGTAAAACTATGGATATATGAAGAGATAACATTCACTATATGGAAAAGGTTTCACATTGCAGCACGTTTCCAAGTGTTCGTTTCTTTTTATTATTTACTCCTAGAGTGCACGAGGTAATCGAATAAATAATTATTACTTTCCAACTATCTTTTCTGTAGGCACAACTTTCTGTGCATATTTGCTTAAAACTGCTCGTAGCTGTGTATGAACATAAAAGGTTCTCCTTAGGAAAAAAAGGATAGTAAGTTGAACCATATCCACACAGTGACACCTAACTGGAATTCTTTTATTGTATTTTTTCAACAGGACTTGTTGCGTTTGCTTTATTGGTGTCATCAAAAGTAGTTGGGAAAACAACAGTTCATTAAAAGTTTTCATCCACTGCAAACTACAAGAAACCTTAAGCCCTAAGTATCGAACACAGAGCAACATGTAGCACAATAAGAAATCATTCAATTTATTAGTTGTTGTTTAGGAATTAGTAATTATTGTCATACTTCATGGTCTTCCTGGGGTTTGCTCATTCTCTGTTTGGTAACCTGAAAGTCTAATGGGTCAAAAAACTAAGTTAATTTAATTACTGATTGGTGGTGAATGATTTGTTTTCAACATGAACTAATATCAGTTCGAAAACCACTGAAAACGCAGAAGCACTGAGCAGCTGTTCCATCCCAGTTAAAGACTCTTATGCATCAAATCTTTTATTGAAGATTAGACTCAAAGCTGTTGTTTACTGTGATGAGAATTTTACCACCTAACCACTGTGTCCAACTTCAGTGGCTCGTACTTTCTTACTTCTCTTAATTCACGATACACCCTGACCATTTGAAAGTATCTGATTACACATCTACCTTGATCGACCCCATAGTTCATGGTTTTTCACTAAAAAATTAAGAAACCCAGATCTAAGCATATCACTAAGCAGCCATGTAAGTAGTTTGTTTGGTAATTTGTGGAGATCAATTTCAAGGTAGTTTTCATCTAAGATTATCTTTCTCCGGTAATGATGACAGTAACCCTGAAATAAATCAACCAAAGTCTGTTTCTTACTACAATACCTTAATTGTAAAAATTATCGTTGGTGCTGACTATTATTGGTTTACTCGAAGCCAGAATGATCATGCAGCTGACAGGAATACTATTTCCGGACAACTATGTCAAGGAACGAATTATTCGTCAGTTCAAGTTAAAACAGCCTTCATTCCTTTTAAAACATAAATATAATTTGAAGAATGAATAATCTACATTCAAAGGTTACTTTGTATAGAAATCAGTGGAACTGTTGAAATGCCCACTACTTTCACAGTCAAAATATGATGTGAAACAAGTGATGGTGACTTTTCAGCAGCCATTCTTTTCAACAAAAAAAGCGTAGTGATCCAATTTTTTCCAGCCGTACTTCATGACAGAACCACAGTTGCGCTAGTCAGTCGGATTAAGACATGAACTGCAGTAAGGCAGAACAGAAAGTGAAAAATGATTGGCACTGCTTAATAACACTAGAATTTCTACTTTGACGCCAAAAAATAGAATTTTTTTAATGAATTCACCTTTGTGAACTGAGGTTGTACAAATGGAAATTATTTTCACCCTAAAATTAAGAAGCAGTGATTAATTCATTCCTGGTCATATGATGACATCAACTAGGTATACTGATTGAATGGTTTACGAGGTTGTGAAAAATATATCGACGCAGAGACTAAGTCTGTCTTTCGCCGATAAGCCAATGATAACTCAACCTCCATAACAAGATGCTGATAAAAACACCTCTAAAAATATTTGAGTTTCTGAAATCCTTGACAGCGAATATCAACCCATTGTCCACTTGTAACTTAAGGAAGTGCACAACCTTAATTTCACTTCTGATCACCATGCATTCCTAGTATTGTCAAATATACTTTTTCGTTCTGAAGGCTGTTGGCTCCGCTTTTTGTAGTATAAAAATAAATCTAAATGCCTTTGCATCTAAACAAACAACTCCAAAGGGTAGTTTTTTTCAATGTGCTGAGCAATACTGTAAGAAGTCTGGGTAATCTCATTTTCTTATTCGGTAGTATTCTCTGCTGATACCAAAATATGTCAGGTTTGAAGTAAAATAGTTGATATTTGTTAAAGAATAAAATGTACTGTTCACAGGTTCGGTGTAACAGTGATGTAGTTAGGTGTAGCTTAGACTTGAAATTTGAAATTATGCATCTCTGAAAGAAAATATATCAGACAATTGATAGAACTAAGACCAAAACAGGGAAGATGTACTACAGGAATAGCTGAAAAGAGTAAGCTGTCCCTAAAACATTGACACTGGGAAGCAATACTTGTCAGCCAAATCCCTGTGATCTTAACAGCTGGTAACCAGGACTACATGAATGAAGTGACTTAGCCCTGCATTTTGCATGAATTTCTTTCATTTACCCCAGTAAATTCGAAAAACCACATTTCACATACATATATCTTTTTTAAATAAAGAGACCCCTAATAAATTAATGCTATTAGTACCTAACTATTCACATTGACGCAGAAAGATCTATAAACTCAGTTACTTACTTATTCCATCTGCGAGGACTGAAGTGTATGCTGTTTGTGTAACATTCCTAATGACTGGTTTAGCCGGAATGCGCGAATTTGATTCCGTATCCAAACGACTTGCCGAATTGTAAAATATGTCAACTGGACCAATTAACCGATGAGAAACTTGATAACCACGAATATCTCCATGCGTTCTTTCAGGTGGATCCCATGCGAGCTCTAAGATTGCATAATCTGCCTTTGGATCACTAGCACCGGTGGAGTTGCTCTTCGTAACTGATTGAGACGTAAATTACGTGGCGCAGATGGAACTTGAAAACAAATTGAAGGATCCAAAAAACAAGGATTAGAATTTAGTATAAATGGTATGCCTGAATTCTCGGTGCCCTGTCTAGTGGAATGTATCAATTGCAATAGGTAATCAAGAATTATGTAAATCTCAGTAAACATAGCAAGTGCTTCACTGTTGTCTAGCAATGATTAAAATGAATCAAATAAATTCAATAGCTTATTCATTTTTAGCCTGCTTTGTTTTTCTTCTGAAAATGTAATGTGACCTAATTTCAAGCGTTGCCAGTCAGAAAAATCATCACTCCTATAGCAAACATATAAACCATTGTGATGTGATGACCTTCATATCATTCATCCATTTTGGTTTTTACCCAATCAACAGCAAATAATTTGCACCAATAAGCTTGCATCACTCCGCTGAGATAACTTTGTCTGCAGAAACATTTCACCTGTTAAAGTGAACCAGTCAACTGAAAATTCAAAACTTCGGTTTATTTATTGATTTATTGAAGTCTGATACGAGCATTCTGCTAGCTATAAGTATGGATGGACTCGACCAACAAACGTCCACGTATTGCATACACTGGAATGGATGTTAGTAGCTTTAGAATTTACGTCTATAGAAAAGCAATAGATCGCCCAAGTCATTTGTTGAATATTTCAACGTGACAGTTAATTTTATTTCAATCAGTATGTTTGCGTGCAGATAGCTCACACCACTGTTTGATACATTATGAAATGACTTCTAAGTCACTAGGTGGAGCCACGAACCTAGACTTTGCTTAGGGTGTTTAGTGGCTACCATAATCGGTTGTTTTTTCTTTCCAATGTAATTTCGTATAAATTTGATTTCAGTTGTGTATAATCCTCACTAAGTAGATAGGCAGCGGATCCCTGATTCTCTATGGGTCACTAATACTTACTACTTATAAGTAGATTTTTAAGTATTTAGCCAAGCGACATAGTCAGTTTAATCGGATGATTATTACCTACTAATTACTTTTCGTGATCAATGTAATAGTAAAATTTGAGCACTGTGGTAGAATATAATTCCATATTAGATTTTTTACTTACTAATAAAACACAATGACAAAGTGCTTTTTTACAGGATGATGTTTCCAGCAGAATTCATCGCTTATATTCCTAAATTCTGCTCGAAACGTCATCCAGTAGAACAAAATTGCATCAGTGTGTGCCATATAAGAAAAAACAATCCAATATGAGATCCTTGATTCGATGTTTGTGGCAGTTAGGTCACTATTTGTAAGCTATGAACACTCGAATTCAAAGGTTTAACGAGGTTAAAAGACAAGTCCTCAGGAACTCGGTGTTCCGAAGACTGATTTAGTAGTAATGAATGGTTGAAGAGAATGGTATTTGAGCAGTTTTGTGAAAGAACAGAATATATTATAATTATTTCAGGCTTGTTACCAGAAGACGTCCCAACAATGGTGATATGAAAAGATAAGTGCACAGAATGCAACGATTCCCTCTAGATGCAGTTCATAAAAATATGGCATATTCAAAAGACATGCTATTTCGGCAAACTCAACATATTATCTATCTTATTGCCTATTCTACGATTACAAACTGAATTTATGACACCTTCGTTTCTGATTGTTTTCGTGAAATTGAATAGTTAGATGTACATTTATCAATAAATATTTAATACGCGATTTTATGACTGCTTAAGCATCTTTAACAGGCCATATATCGATGTTGAAATAAATCACTGTTTAGTGCCGACAGTGCTTAGAGTTTATAAAGCTGAGTGACTGCCATTGCAAATTATTCCAAGCCTGGTACATTTTTTAGAAACTGCATTGCGAAATCACACCATCATATCACTTACTGTTATTCAAAACGACCACTTTGAAATTTGTGACTGATATCTGGGAGATTACAACCAGGCAGAGACCAATCAGTTAAGTTACTTCTTAATAATAATAGTAATAATTACCTTGTTATTATCAGGTAACTCAATTGACTGATCTCTGCCTGGTTGTTATCTCCAAGACCTCCCCCAAAAATTTTGAATAACAGAAAGTGATAAGATGATGAGATAACGATAGCTAAAATAACATGAGCTGAATGTTGAGAAATGAAAACGAAAAAAAGTCAATAGTTTAGTACTAAAGATGCAAAAAAAATAGTTTGAATGGATAACTAGTGATTTTAGTAAAAATGTTATTAGAAACAAGAGATATTTGTAGTTAACATTTCGAAGAGTATACTCGTAGAGCTAATCTATAAGATTTAATAATGATGTTGTAAACAAGCCTTAAGTACTTTTTCGAGTCTCATAAATAGGTTGGTTTTCACTCAAAATTATGTGGCTAGGATGCTTGTTTGTAGCTTGTATTGAGAATAAATTACCTAATGCAGATGAGTTGGCAGATAAATAAGAATGTTGATATCTCTGTATTTTTGTATAATGCATTGTATTAAAGTGAACTTCAACCGGATTTTCTTGAACTATTCTACGTGAACTTCACACTTTGTGGAGGTATTCGTTTCTCTCTTCTTGGCGAAATTAACTGTGTCCTTCTAGAAGTGAACAGAACTTCGAAAAAATTCTGTTTAATTAATCACTTGTAGAGAAGGTTTGAGGTTAAATATGCTAAATTCATGTTAGCTGGATAGTCATGATTAATGACAACTGAAATAGTGTTCACTGATGCCTGATTTGGTGGGGGAAACTACTAAAAAGAAACTTGATGGGCTATTTACAGTGAATTGCTGCAAGTAATATCGGAGCAATATACTTAACAAGCGGCTTTTTTGAAAAGAATTGCCTTGCTGCCAAAAACAATATTTTCATTAGACTCATAAAATAAGACAATTTTCCAATCAGTTTTCTTGCGAATTCTTATCAGCAGTTTTAGAAATCAGTTAAATTAACCATATTGAAGAAGATCATCTGCGTTCAGTTTTACTAATGCTGTAAAACAGACCAATTTGTTTATTCACAAAATATTTTAAGCTGTTTCAAAGGAGAAATGTAGCAGTGGTGTGTTTCAGAGAGATTACCATGAATGTAAAAACTATGCAAACAGACCGTTGATTGACAACGTTAGGGAAATTTTTTCCTCTCAAAACAGTTCTAAATTTTGCCAAAGCAATAAAATCTGAAATGTAAACCAGGTCTTCATCGGTGAGAGTGATTGTGAAACAGCATACAGGAATAAGGTTATTTGGTTGAAGTTTTGACATCAAACAGTGTCTTGGAACAATCACTCCACTGGTTTCCAAAATTAATATAAGTCAGCTACAATAAAATCTGACATCAAGTTGTCATCTCAACCAGATAAAGAAAATATTGTTGGAATTTCGTAAAATATATTAAACAGTCATGAAAGTAGGAGAAACAACCACAGAACAGAAATCAAAAGCCTAATCGTTTGCTATCTGTTCTCCTAATTTCTATATTTTTCTGATTCCTATACATTTATATTAGACCTGTATCGCATACTTTATTTTTGTTTGCAAAACAATCAAATTTTCGTATGTTTTTTTCTTTGATTCCCAACATCATTGTTTTTCTCAATTAGAAAAGTAGGTTTTATTGATTGAATAAAAGAGACATTTAATGTTCTCTACACTTACATTAGTTCATTTTCCGTATACATTAAAACGCGAGTACAGCAAAGCGTACATAAGGAAGAATGATTTACATAACACTGGGAACTGTATCTCTACTTAATTCAAAAGTTGCGAAGAAATACTCATTTTTTTTAATCAGTTTCATTTTTCTTTTATTTATCTTCATTATTACACTTCCAAGACCTTCATGGCAACGATACTCATAAAATCAGACATCGTAAACCATGTGGAATAAAAAAAAAACTAAATTCAGAGTGCAAAATATCACTGCTTTACACTTTTCAATCAGTTTCTTCGAAAAATATATAACAGTGATTATTTTGAAGTGTGAATTCAGGATTTAATGTTCTGTCCAGTGATTTCAGCTCTACTTCAAACCAGTATGGACTTCTACATGCATAACGTGTTCAAATAGGAAGACTTTTGGGTCAATCCCTTGACTAATTTTTGTTTACCTTGCCAAAAATACTCATTTTACTTATCTAATTACAGCATTCATATTTTCAGAGATATAATTATCAAAGTTTCAATTAAAGGATTTTTCGAGGATGTAGAAAACTTTTGTATAAATCAAAGGAAGCAGTATATAAGCCACTTGTTGGATGCAGCTTTTATTTTATAACTAATTACTAACCAGTCCATCAAAAACGATTTCCAAGTATTCCATTTTAGCCTGTTTATTAGAAATGTCACACAGTGAAACAGTATCATTTGCATAATTGCCAAACTTTACTAGTCAGCTGTTTCAACCTTCTTGGTCTATAAAGCTGACTAGTTGGGTCTTCAGAGAAGCTCTAGTGACATCACATAAGGAAGTAGCGGAATTACTCATCTATGGATCTGTTGACATTTAAGTTTATCATATGTGAATAAGTTTCAAACTATGGGTTCAAACAGTTTGAGTGACAATAGAAATAAACAATTAAACTACTCAGTTTCATGAAAATCTGCCTTTCTAGCCGAATTGGCCTCTTAAGTCACCCATTAATTAATAAGGCCAGTGATAACTTCTAAAATCCGTATGACTTTAAAGACCACCCTAGCAACTGTTGAGATAATCAGTTGTTTTACTCTACTACATGAGAAATTGCCTTCCTAGCCTAAATCTCGAAGTCATTTCAGCAGTTGCTACAGTGGCCTTTAAGTTCACTCCTCAAATATCTAAGTTACTTATTCTAAATCAAAAAGAGAAAGGGATGGCTTAAAGTCATCTGACTGAAACAAATAACCTTTCTTGAAAATACGCAAGGCTTGTCTACTGTTTACCACCTTAAAGAGACATTATATAGATCTGTTTAAAAAGCAAGTGATCATTCTTTGTAGATGAATTAATATTTAATTTTACTGTTTGACTTTAATTTCTGAATCTATTATTTCGGCTAGTTAAAGCAAGTGTGATGGCTATCAGGAAAAATAA